ATGTTTTTTTTTTAAATAAAAGAAAAAAAACTATATTGATTCTGACTCTTCTACATCCAACTCACAGGTTTATCATTGCTTTGAGAAAAAAGATGATTAATTTACCCCTTTTAGAAGTGAAGTTATGGTCATTTGTTCTGGGAATGTCATTTTCGAGCCTGAGACCTGGAAAACAGGCTCGGGGCTTAACAGGTAATCAATCAGCTACGGAGGATAGAAAGTTGTCTTTATAACTTTGCTGCCCCACAATTCCCGGCTGTGACTGGATTTCTCACACAGCTGGTTACTCTGCAGAGGTATAACTGTTCAGTCCTCTGGTGCTCTCTTTATTGCAGCTAAAATATAGATGCATAAAGTTCTCATTTGTTGTCAGACAACTCAACAAGTATACATTTATTATGAAGTCGCAGCTCATAAACAGCACACGTTAATCAGCAGCCATTCCCACACTGCTGTGATACAAATTGTATTTCATAATGCCAATGCAGTCTGACAAAACCAACATAAATCCATGTTAATAACCAACTTATATCCAGCTTGATAAGCTGCTTTGTATTTAGCTTTGTTGGCTTTTGAAATGAACAATCGCTGAAAATTAGGTAACTAAAGGATTTCTTCTTAACTTAACTGGCACAAAACAGTTATCGGTAATCGGGAAAAAATAAAGTGAAAACCTGCAGAAACCAGAAAACATGTCCAGTTGAACCACCACAAGCAGATAGCTGAACCAAATTAAACTGGTTAATGGGAACAACATTGTGGGTCCACCCAATCCTGCACATAATGGTGTGAATGTAACTAAATTGATAAACCTCAACATCAGCACAAAGCAAGGCATGTACTAATAAACCTAAAACAGTCAATGGGTGGATAGATTAAGAATTAGGATGTTTCATAGTTCTGAAAATTAGCACTGGAGCTGTTGAAGGTTTGTGTTAGGATCAATATGCTTTAAAAGTTTGTTGCTAAACTGACAGGATTTTGCTTTTATGTATACATTGTCTAACTGTTTAGAAAACAATTTACTAAAGTGGCCGTCCTAAATATTCAACCATTCTCAAAGCACTGGAGCAAAAAGTATCTGGCACTGACAATGATGTGCACATATGCAACCATAGCATTTACCATATTTTAAGTTTGTACTGATCTTTGTATTTACAAAGCAAACACATATAATATGACTCCAGACTTTTCAGATGAGGACTGTAGCTACAAGGGGACATTTTAGAAGATGTTTCTCTACATTTGAGTCTGAGCCAGGAAGACGAGTGAACCTGGCTGCTGCCCAATTCAACCAGCATCTGAGATCCATGTGTGGACCTACTCTCATTTCTCTCTAGTCAGGGGAGTCATTTGGCTTTGTGACACATGCCCAATTGAGCTTGCCAAGTACTCTCAGGCGTGCGTGAGTCATTCTTAGTTTAACAATCCATGGTCGGCTCTTCGCTTGGTTGGAGGAACCAGGACCTCCAAACATGGCTGCGATGGTTTTCTGGAAAGTACATCCCATGGCTGCATCTCACTTCTCTTAAATTCAATCCTTGCGTCCCTCACTTCCGTCTTTACCACGAGAAGGGAGAAGAAGCAGGGAAATGAGTTTTAAGAGCAATGGGACGTCCTTTCCACCGGAGCGTCACGTGAAGCGACTTCCGTTTGTGATGACGCCACACAGCTGATCGTCTGACAGCAGCTCTGTCCCCGTTTTTATCACAAACACCCCCGCCTCTGTTAGTACACATTTACTGACATTAACATTTGGATCATCTGTTGTAGACCCAAATAAATGAAATAAAATAAGAACTCATTCTCAAAAAAGATAAATGCCATTCTTAAAATGTATAAACGAGCAATAGTTTGAAAAGAAGAATGAAAATTATTGAGAGAAGAAAAAGAGATATGTTATCATCAAAACCCAGTTAGATTGACATTCATTGGATGTTTGTTGTTCAGATATATCACATATTTTTAACTTAGATACATTAATTGAAACAAAACATTGTATAAACTGAGGAGTGAGTCCCGTGAGAAAAAAAAAACGGTTCCGAACCAGAAGAGCGCAAGCACGGAGCTAGAACGGGAACCGCGTTGGTGTGAAAGGGGCATAAGGGGCCAGTATAGTTCCTTTCAACAACTATCTTGGGCCCAATCTCCCTGTGCAAATGAGCGAAGCTTTGGGGATTTCTGGCTTTGCATTCCATAATGCTGCAGAGACTGAGCGCCTCACAAAGCCTGACTGCAGCAAATTCCACACAATGGAACTCCACTTTCCCTCCCTGACTTACTAACACTGTTACTCACTCAGACAAGGCCACTGTTCTGGGCCGTGAAGAGGGTGAGGGGTAAAAGACATTAAGACATTTAGACCATGCAGAGCCCAGAGGAGTCTGCCACAGAAATGTGTGTGCTTATCACAGCCACAGCAAAACCATCCTGTGCGACCTTGGTGACACTGGGTAACCAACCCCGACTGAATTGACTCGGCCATTCTGCACCAACAAATAGCCGATTCCACTCAAGATCTGAACACTCATTCCATTAATAGTGCCATTAGTTCTCCCAACACACACAGCTACTGGTCTAAGGCTAGCCAAAGATTAAACACAAACTTATCTTTACATTTCTGGGTGATGTTTTCAGGGTACATTGTTGAAGTTTTTTTGTGTTTGTTACTTCCAAAACAGCACCATAAAAAGGACAAAAATATATTAAAAAATCCAAAAGTAAAAAGCCAATATGTAACCTGCTAAGGTAATACCAGTTCAAATAAACAGTTGGTATTTGATGTTGGCAACACAGTGTTAATGTAAAGTAATCATTTTTCAAACTCTAGCAAATCCCTGGGAAGATATGCAGCAATGTCATTACAGAGAGGAAACGCAATTTACTAAAATGCCTCAAACATAAAGTCCTTTGAGAAAACAGCTGAAAAACAAATGTAGGCCACAGAGAATAAAACAAACTGGGGGAAAAAACGTCCATGTTTCTTGGTCCAAGTGTCATGTAGAAAAGCTCTTGGCAAAAGGCCCACACGCAGTAATATGTCTGAGCCAATACTTTTTATTCGCCACTGCAGTGGCGCCCAGGAAACAGAATGAGATGTTTGGAGTTTCAAGAAGTTAAAGATAATTATTGTTTTGTGTCATCATTACTGTATCTATCATAAAAATGCATACTTTATAGTATAGATTCAACATTGATTTATTTTCTAATGGATACGCTCAACAGTTTTCCAGTCTATTGAAATATAAGCTCAGTAACCCAAGTGTTTATAATCACCTAAACTAAAGGAGGGAAACTAACTTTTTTGTTGCTGAGGTTAACTTCAACAATACAGCACACAGCTATAGGTCAAGTGTCTATACAACAACAAATCCTCATTCACTTTTACTTAATCCTGCAAAGCTCTCAGGATCTGAAGGGAGATCTTCAACCCTCAAGACTGCTACCTTAGCGGTTAAAAGCTAACGTTAAGAGAAAAATAACCTTCCAGTTAAAGATGTAAACTATACTCTCTGCGTACTACTTAGTTAATCCACAGCAAACAAACCATGAATTGCAAGGACACAAACCAAACTCAAGTTTGATGTAGAGGATTTATTTTCCACTGCAGGCGACCAGTGGTGTGTTTCACATTTAATACAGCAGAATGAAGCTGGCTGGGTAGGAACTAAATTCATGTCCTGACATGAGCCGAGTGGGAAAAAGCAACAAGTGGCTGCTGCTTCAAAGCTCAGCATGAAAGCTTCTGGAAAACCACAACATGTTCTCCTGCTGTGATCAGCCCTCTAACACATTTAGACACATCCTACAGAAGACCTAAACAATCCTTCAATCGCTGTGGTGAAGTGGCAGTCTTTTATCTTTCCTTTTGGGGTACCTGGGCAGGGCTGCACCATGGGCTACTTTCAAGGCTGTGGGCTGACCTCAAATGACAAGAGGACAAGGATACTTCATGCTACAGTGGTACAGACTGGCTGAGTTGCCCCATTGTCCCCCTGCCAACAGGCTGAATTAAGCTATTTATAGGTCCATGCATTATTAACTGAAATGCACAACAAGATAGCAGGGTCAAATTAAAGACAAATTATGTCACATGTATGGAAGAGTGAACAGATCTGCAGCTTTGTGTCCTCTCATTGCAGTTCTCAGACACTGTGCCCGGCTAGATCAAAAAGGAAATTGTTTAGTTGGTAGACTGTAACAGAGTGCTCCTGACAACCTGGACACATTCACAAGTGCTGTCAAGTGAGAAGTATTTCCTCCCTTTCATGTCGGAGAGAAAGTCAAACATGGGAGTTAAACCTGAGCAACACAACTTCATCCAAGAACAGTAATAGCTTTTCTGACTACCAAGTCACAATGTAGTAGAAATATCCATTGTAAAGAAGAGAGCGTATTTGGATTTCTTCTCCTGGAAATTAAGCACACACTTCCCCAAATATCACAACACACCCAATGAAATCTGAAGATTAGGGATGGTGGTTTTAATCAAACGCAACAGAAATTAATTTCTCATTAAATATAATCCGTATCTTTAGAATTCCTCTATGCATGTCATCATAGAGATGTTAACCCTTGCTGAAGCTCAGGAACCTCTCTGGAAGAGTCTGACCCTCCACATTGCTTGCGGCTGACTTCACCAGCTGTGTGACCCTAAAAACCCTGTTCATTAACCTCTACAGCCAACAGCTGAAATCACTGGCAGGTGTTCTAACTTAGTGAAAGACATTGCAAAAACCTGTGCACTACAACAGGAAATATACGAGTACCACAACCCTTTGTTTAAAACTAAACTGAAATCGATGATTAAACTTTTCATAAAGTTACTTTCAACACTGAGATTAACCAATGCAAAGACTATAATGTTTTAACTTGACACCACAGGTATCAAACGTGAATGAAAATCCCAGGCTTTTAGCATTCATTGCATTCCCTCCCGTCCGGTGTGCCCAGAGGACTGGTTCCCGTTAGATTTAAGGAAAAAAAGCTAGGCTACTTACAGGATGGTAGTCTGGAGAGAAACTGCTGGTACGGTTTCCAAGTTGAGATGCATACATCTCACGGTGGTTCGGAAACACAAACAGCGACTCGGACAACTAAGTACAAACTGTGGTCCGCTCACGAGCAATAACAAAGCAACCGTGAGGAGACACGGAGAAAAGAGCTGGCCAGCCCGCAGCGCCATTGCTAGCATTGAGCCGAGCCGAGCACAGACCGCCAGCTGCCCTCTCAAACAGACACACACAGAGAGAGGAAGAGGGGGAGAGAGAGTGCAGTCTATCACAATCCCAGACAAGTGAAGTCCAATAGAGAGCTGAGTAAATGAGAAGTACTCAGATCTTGCACCTAAGTAAAAGTAGAACTACCAGAGTGTAGAAAGTCCTGCATTGAAAAGGTAACTCAAGTAAAAGCATTATTACCATCAAAATATACTCAAAGTAGCAGAAGTAGAAGTACTTATGTTGCAGATTGGCCCATTTCAGAATCATACATCTTATATGTTTTTATTATAATTATTGATGCATTAAAGTGTTATCACAGCTGGTAAAGGTTCAGCTATTTTTAATTACTTTGTTTGTATAGGGTAGCTTGTGGATTGACTCCAGGTGTAACTAAAGTCTTATTAAGGTGTTGATTATATTTCATATCATAAATCCCAATCTACAAAGTAACTTAAGGTAATACATAAATGCATTTGAGTAAAAGTACACCATTAACCTCTGAACTGTAGTGGGGTAGAAGTACAAAGTAGCAACAACATTGAAATACTCAAGTAAAGTAAACTCCCTCAAAATTGTACCTAAGGACAGTTCTTGAGTACATACTTAGTTACTTTACACCACTGGTTGTGCCAGTGCAAGGTAGATGTTCAGTTGCTTATAGCTAGCAAGTAGTAGCCTAGAGTTGAAAGGGAAGATGTAATTGAGCGTATAAAGTTATGATAAGATTAAAGAAAAAAGTTGAGTACAAAACAGCCTACGATAACGAAGTCATTATCGAGCCAGCAAGCACATACATTACAGTAAGGCCCTGCTCTTGTTCAATTAAAAGCAGCCATTATTTATAATATTAATAATGCTAGGAAAGTTACACCTGGGCTTGTTCTGTCATTTTGAAATGCCTGCCTTGGGAGAGTGTATGTTTAAATGGGAAATTATGAAAGATTAGCTAACTAGCTTAGTTTAGTCAGAGACGGTTTGGTTTAGCAATAGAGCCTATTTCTTTGAGTTTAAAGGGCCCCTGTGGCTGCAGCAGGGCCCTCCTATTGGACCACTTGTCTATAACCAAGCTAGGCTAATGTGGGGTTTTTCTGTCAAGAAAGCACTTAATATTTGTGGCGCAGTTAGAAAAGTAACGGTAGGTGAACTAAGTAATAGCATGACAGCAAGCCAAAACAAAAGGCAAAGCATTGGGTCAGCATTATTTTAGTCAGATAATATCCATTGCAGAACAGTCTAATTCACATTTTAGTTTTTTACATGACTGAAAATGAAATTGGCTTACCATTCTCTCAATGAACAACTGACTAATAATTACTGTGTTCTAACCGTCGGCTAATTAGCATACATTAGTTACAGTTGTGCATAATTAGTTAGGCTACTGTACATTGGCTCTGGTGCACCAATCAGAAGCGAAAACGGGAACATGCATGCATGGCATGATGGAACTAGATGTTCAACAATTGTGTCACTCACTAAAATCGGTCTACCACCATTTTTCTTTACCACATTAAAGGTCACCTATCATGCTATTTTTAGGCAATAGCATAGGTCTCAGATATATACACATATATAAAAAACATGTCTATGAAGTTTTTTGCTCAAAATACCAAACAGATCAACCATTCTTGCCATGCCTCATATCCCTCCATTTCACTTCCTGTTTCAAAAGTGCTGATTTGGGGTATAAAGCTTTAAAAAAAAAAAAAAATGTATTAAAGAAACGCCATATCATGGATTATCAAGGATTATTTCTGAAACAGTATGGAGCTCAAAGGCTTTCTCTTTTGCCGGTTATACCACAAGGTGAGTTCCTTTTTATTTCCTGCTTCTTCACACACATGCTCTCCAGTACAGGTTAGCTCTGAGTGTTAGCGATGCTAATGTAAACATGCACCGACAATATTACGTCCAAAACAGTCGGGCATTGTTTCTGATAGCAACGTTTCTGATAGGGCCGTGGGTGTAAAGCCAGCCTTCATATCCGATATTACGTCATATCGGACGCAAATCTGGATCAGCTCCATTTTAGCCCCGTTTTTAGAGATTTGGGTACGGAGGAAAAGAGAGAGGGTTTTATTTTCTGACGCTGCAGCCTGCTTGAGTTCCCCGACACACCGGGGACACATATTTATGTATAAAAGGCATCAAAAAGTGCATTTTGCATGATAGGTCCCCTTTAAGATCTATAAAAGACTCAACCTACAGTATTTGCACATCACAGAGTTAATTTGATAATAGTTTGGGTTTGCTGCCATCTGCTGGTTATTATAGAAATAACACATTAATACATAAGGCACATTTCTCAGGCAGAGACACCATACACATTAATGATTTGATGTGTCATCATCATCATACGAACTGATGAACATAATGATAGAGCTCCTCTCCAGAAGCTTTTATTTACAACCTATAAGTAAACTGTTTGTTTAATGTAAGCCGCTTTTCAGTCGCAGCTGATTGGTCTATTATCTCAAATGGAAACGGGTATGGGTGTGGGTGGGCGAGGTAGTTGTGTCTGCTGTTGCTGGCATGCTGCTGTACTATTGTTAGCATTTCCACCTTTAACAATGCTGTCCCATTGCTATTGTTAGCATGTCCACAGCCTGATGGCCTGGAGGCACGGTTGAACAGTGGAGGCATTGTTTTATAATATTCTATTGAGTTGGGTATTTCATTTGGTGGGATCTCTAACAGACATTTTTGATTCTATCAATGTGCATTGGTGCATTTTCTTCTGACAAAGGCCATTATTGCTCTCTATGCATTCCAGGTATGCAGAAAGTTGATCTAGATCCAAAACAAAGGCTCTTTTTGAAGCACTAGGACCTTCTTGTTCCAATTTGATGTCAACCTAAAATTTTTTTTTTTTATCAAATCTAAAAGTGAAATCCAAAACATATTCTAAAAAGAAAGGGGTAAGCATATTTTTTGCAGTATAATTGTCAATGTATAGTATCCATTATTCAAGCTCCTGAATGTGTCCCACATCAAGAAGAAAAGAGAAAGAAAGAAAGAAGAAAATCAGATTAACAAATTACAGAGAGAGTAAAAATGTAAACCTTGTCTCCAGGCTGAGTTGTCAGGTTTAGACTTGGAGGCTCATGGGAATCTGACTCGTTGACTGAAATCCCCATGCCATGTCAAATATTTAACTTTAATTTTGTTAACGTCATATGCGGATGTGGGAGCTGAGGCTAGAGTGCAGACGAGAGGCCAACAACACCAACACACAGCACTATATCAAGAGAAGAAAGTGTTATACAAGACATTGTCCTTGAAATAACTATAGTTAATGTCAATGTTGCTATCTAAAAATAAACATGGTTCAAATGTGTAAGTGTCCAATTTAAGAATTTAAAATGTAACCAGAAGAAAAGTTCCCTCCTGCCCAGTTAGTAGTAGTATTGGTTAAAGATGAACACATTACTGCATACTGCAACATCACGGTTTTGTCTTGCTGCTGGGAAACTGTCTTACATGTCACACAACTCTCACAAAATACACTATATGAAACATGTTTAAACTGGAGTGGCAGAGAGACAGAGAGAGAAGGAAAATATCAGGGACAGAGGCGTGTAGCCTTCTGTAATTCCTCCATTGTGAATTAGATTATCTTGGCTAAATGACAAATGTAGTTGTCTGCTTCAGAATGTTAATTAATGAGCCGGGCACACAGACGTATTTCAATAAAAAAAGTGTCTAAAATTAAAGTCTGCTTTAATTGTTTAGCACTGCTCCAACAGTGATTAATAGCAGCAGAGGGGCTGTTTGAGGTTAGTTTGCAAATCAGTGGTTTTGTTCCAACTCCCTTTTAATTGTGGGAAATGAACCTGCTTTTAATCAAGTCAATGGATCATCTCTGATAGATGCATACAGCCCTGGTGTAGTTTGCTGACATCTGCTGGTGAAGTGTGGGTAACAGTTAAACCCTCTGTGATATACTACTGAGCAGTTTAAACAGGCCCTATTACAGTCCTAATCAGGTTAATATTTTCCATTTTAATACATAGCGATGTCACCATGTTACATAAGTACACAAAGGAGTCCAATGGAGGTGTTTCAGGAGGGGGGGGGAGAGTGTGGGAGAGAAACTCCCTCTGGAGGGAACACAGGGATTTTAGCCTTTGCAGACCATTTACATGCACAAAAACCTACACAACACACTACGGCAAAGGAAAACCCAATTAAGCATAAAAGGGCCTCTTTAAGAAGGAATATGAAGATGGGTTCTGCAGTATCTGCCTGTAATAAACACACACAATAAATCATTGTACAGGCCTCTGGCAACACATTTTTTTCTTTATTCAGAGTAAGATGTGTCAACATCCAGCATGACAAAAATTGTACAAAGTTCACAATTTATAAATGAAATATCACAGCAACTTGTGATCTCACACATTTATAGCAAAATTAAAATGTCAACAAATCCATGCTGTGTAGTACAAAAATAAATCAAACTTCAGTTCCACAGAGAGCACAATAGTTTATACAAAATCCTGTCTTTGTTAATGGTCACTGAAAACAATCCCAAAAATGAATTGGCTCAAACTAAATAATAAACTCTGATGAATTCACAATAGTTGTATATGAAAAGTCAGCTTTCTAAATATGTGACAACCTTTTTGTGTTCCCTATAGATAGTCACAGATATCTCTATTCAGATTTGTTATTTATGTACCAACATCAGATGAGCAGCCGGTTTGTGCTTTAAAATCCATTTCCCTTTTTACTGATAATGAGAATTAATTCAAAAACTGGTACTAGCTATTACTCTACTGAAGCATTACTATATTGGCAAAAAGCTGCAGACACGATGCTGTGGAAAAAGGCGTATGCAGTCATGGATGATGGGTAGTAGAGTCCTGAAAGAGGACAGTAGTACAATAGATGAGATTCAATCAGGTGAACGACAAGCACCTTTTGAATTAGCTCTCAAAAAGGCAATTCTGAACATGATCGCTAACAACTAGAACAACAGAATAGAGGGGTGCACACAGCCAGGCATGTGGGCGCGTCGCTGGATTGTATCACCCCTCGAAGGTCTCGTTTTCACCGTTTCTTCAGCTTTTTTTAAAACCTTGATTTGATTGACTATTTAATCCTTTGTACAGTGATTAGATATAAAGTGCTGCTGGGGGATAACTTCATCTTCCTAAAACATAGCAAAAATGAAAGAACAATGTTTTTACATTTGATAATAGCCTACAGTATAACTGCTATGGTTATAATCATCCTCTTCTCTGATTTCAAGTCCCTGTTCTTCCTTCTCAGTGGTACTAAATCCACGCCTACAGTGGCTCCAAGCAGTTGGTTGCTCCAATCGTGTGCCAAAGAGGTCGTCTGAAAAATTGCACGCCGCCGTACGCAAGGATAATATCTTCAAGGACAAGTGCAAATAGTCTACTGGCACATAAGTGGGGACAGTGACCCTGTAAGTCCCTCTGTCATACTCTATAAATACTCTTTACAAAACCCTCTGAAACCCTCCGTTAGGCTCTCGGGTACTGCTTTTAGTTTCTGTAAGAACATCAAAACATGGAAACGAAGGTGTCCCTGTGCAAAATCGTACAGAAAAAAACTCATATACTTTCCCTTCTAAAACTCAATGTCCAGGTTTCCTCCTCTTTTTTAAAAAGATTTTCGTATTAAAAGATTTGTATAAAAATCAATATTTTACATAGGCTATATTAAAAAGATCCATGTTACCCCGCTATTCTTATAAACAAGAAATTGCATATACCCAACCTTTTAGTTTTTCCATTGTAGATTGCATCCCGTTCTTACCATAAGCAAATGATTTAGTAATTATATTGCTGAGACGTTTCTTGATCCTAGCAACACAAGTCTCGAAATTGAGCAGATTTGAACTAGAAAGGCTAGAATGTGTATTCTTTAAGTCATTGTCTTTACACATCATTTCTATTTGAGATTAGTTTAGGATGAGCATGTGAACATACATGTACCGCACAGATGTGTTCCTCTAGGAATTAATTGGCTCTCCTAGATAATGGGATTTCCACCATCGGGTTTCCGTGTAATGATGTTTACAATAGAACTATTCATACATACATTCATACATACATCAGGTCAGTTTCCTCTCCGGATTCATTTACAGCACCAATTAAAAATGCCCCCACCTACAGCTACACGTCTTTTTTTCCATCAAAACAAAACACAAAACGTTTCTCAAGCATTGTCAGAAAATAAAGCGATTGGCAAACCAGTTCTTGCTCTTGAACAATTTACACGCAAGAAGAAGAAAGAAGAAAGAAAACATCTAAAATCATGAAGTCCAAAATCATCCAGTGAGGAGAAACATAAGTAGCTTCCTCCTTGCTTGCAGTTTTTTTTGTTTTCATACCACTGTCCAGTTTGTTTTCATCTAAAATGCTTCGTTGTCAAGCAATAAAAAGAACTCACGTCCGTTAGTATTAGCTTACCGTTCGGAATATACACTAAAAATGTGCATACATGAGCAGCTAGAAACATCACATGACACTATGTCAGCTCATATGAAAACGTACAAAATGTGAATGTCCTCAAAAACTATTTTGCCGTTCAGTTTTTTATGTTCTTCCTCAAAGCAAGGCCCAAAAAGAAAAAGAAAAAGAAAGAAATTATCTCGAGGTGTTTGTAGCATCGTACCTCTTTTTTTGAGAGAACACAATTCAGAATATATAACACTATGTAAGATACTGCACCGCACAATCAGCGCCTGTGTGTTTGTGGATTGGAACCGTCGCCCACACCTGCCGGGGGAACAAAAATCTCCCTTTGCTGATTGGTTACACTTGAATCCCTTGAACCGCTTGCTTGATGTTTTCCAACAAGGCTTTGTTCTCCGGGCTCTGGAACTGGTCTTGGTTGGTGTACATGTCCGTTAGAGTGGTGACGTAGGCGTCAAAGTTCTGCTCGCTGATCGGCTCCTGCAGGACCAAAGACACAACACAGAGGCTATTAGAGGAAAACGGAGGTGAGAATTTATGATGTCCGAAAAATCTTCTTGTACAATGTGTTCTGAAAAAAACCTCAATATTGATCAAATTTCACAAATACTGTCGACATCCTAACGTTCCTTTTTTAATGACATAATCTGAGTTATTGACTTACTTGCTGGTGCAACTGTAAGCAGCTGTTGTTCCTCAGAGGAGGCTCTTTGTGTGCCAGTGGTTTCTATGGAAGGAGAGGAGGGACAGCCTTCTATTAGTTTGATTTGAGGAAACAAGTTGTTATTCTTATGTTTAAACACTAGGCGACAGTATGTGATGCGCAGCCACATAGAGAAGAGCTACAATAAGTGGGAAAATAGAAGCAGGCTATAGATGAATACATATAGGAAGACAAACATAAATCTGGTGTGAAGACGGCATGGTCACATTGTAACTGATTAGATACATTTCACTCCAGCAGGATGGACTTATCTGAGCAGCTGCTGAAATATGAAATAATATGATTATAAAAACACTTCGACAAGAATCTTACTGTTAACTAAAACACTATGCTAGAGTATATTTGAAAAGAGTGGCAGAGTAAAGGACGGAAGAAAGGATGAAATCGTGTGTGATTACTTTGAAAACAGAATGTCATACTTTTTGCTTTATCTTCAAAAGCCAAAGTAAAGATGGAATGATAGCCAATAGAAGATGTCTGAAGCACATTGAAAAAAACAAAACAAGCAATTCAAACACTTTGCCATACACTTTCAAATAGAGCTTTTGAATCATCATAGCATTGTTAAAAACAGACAAAACCTCAATATAAACTACTGTATATACACTTCTCATCTAAAATGTGCTATGCAGAATAAATATGTTTTTTCAAGTCCAATCTACGACTCCCCCTCACTGTTTGGAAAGACAAGCAGTGCTTCACATTTAAATCTAAGCATGCAATATCAGCTGCAGTTGAATACACAAATAAAATAATAATCTAATGCTTCGTTAGCTATGTTCTGCAACTTGCCGGCTTGCCGTTTCCTGGAGGCCCTTACCATATGAGGGAGCTGGACATTAGCTAAACTGTTTATCAGTGACTGGCTGAGGTTGGCCATCTCATGCAGGAGAGATTCATTTTGATGTTCAATCACCTTGTTTTCCTCCTCTATGGACTTCATGTTGGACTCCATTGTTGTGATCTGCGGAGAGGACGGTGGATGTTACAGATGTACGCCATACAGAGACTTAAGGCCTGTGAGAGTGGTGGAGCAGAGGGGACTTACCTGTGTCCGAAGTTTGATCATGTCGGCCTCCACCTGTGAATTGGATTCACTTAAATCTTTGATTTCTTCATCCAGCTGTTTGATATCCTCCTCATGCTCCAGTCCTACAGAGGAGAGCAGTATTAACACTGACACAGAGCTGAAAGGCCTCAGACATCAATTATTTTTAACAGCCTTTATGTGGAGTTAAGTGATTTAAAATGACAAAATACGACTCTGAAGTGACGAAGAATTTTGCTCGACTTGTGTGTGTGTGTGACTGTCTTCACCTCTACTTAAAAACTGCGGCAGGCCATTTGAACTGACTAAGAAGAATCGCACAGACATATTACATTATGATCCTGTCACATCATCTCTTTATGAAGCCTCAAATATCACTGCAGTCTCATGTGAAGTGTTAGAGAAACATATGGAGAACACACCGGCTGATTAGTAACTTAGCGCAGCACTGTTCTTCACATAGGAGGCTCTCTTCTCATTAGTTATACCCCATAATACCTAGACAATGCTCGCCACACACACCCTCCTGATTGGTTATTATGTGAAACTGGAACTCTGTTCAGGAAATCACTCCACATCCATGTCCCTGATTGGCTGTATTGTGTGGGTGAGTGGTCGTTGTAGTTACCGTTGCTGGCGTGTTGCTTTATTGTCAGCATCTCCACTCCAGAGAGCCGAGCTTTCCTCATGGCGGAGGTGGCACGTGGACAACCCGACAGACTGAAGGAAAGGGAGCATTGTTTTAGCTTGTTACACACACACACACACACACACACACACACACACACACACACACACACACACACACACACACACACACACACACACACAGCTCATATTAATGACAGTCTTAACAATTTTTGCCCGCAGCTGAAGTGTACAATTCCCTTTTGTGTTCAGGCTTTCCTAAGAAAATGTTTTCTTAATTTTCTTGGCAAATATGTCTTTTTTTATATTCTAGGAAAACACGTAGTCGATTGTGCCCAAAGATTACATTTAGTAAAATTAATAAATGGCTGTATCTCAGATCACAATCAAGTATTTTATCTATCAACTCATAACAAGTTTGTCATCAAACACATGCACACGTAATGCAATGTGAACAAATCACACACTGAATATTAGTTATAATGACTGTGACCAATTATAAAAGTATGATTGGTGGTACGGTTACATACTTTCCCAAAGTAAGCTACAACTATAGCTGAGGATCTTGGGTAATCAGTTCAGTGGGTGTGTATCGCAATGATGTTCGAAATGTCCCTTATAGGCCTACGTCTGTTTCCGGTGACTTCATTTTGAAATTCAGTTCCTGACGGACGGCCAAAAGGCCAGAGATTATAGAATTAAACAAATAAATAAAATGAAGCTTCTGCCGAGGCTTCAAAAGTTGAACATTGCTCAACTTTTGCAGCGAGCCACACCAGCAAAGCTCCGCTTCGCTTCCCACAATGCAGTTTGGCGAAAAGTAACTTTACCCCCTTCAAAGTGAATGGTGAAGCTTTCAACGCACGCCGCTGTGTGGACGGACCGTTACGGCTCAGAAGCGTCCCAGAAGCGTCTCGGCGCTGGGCTCCGATAAAAATACGCGGCTGGTCTATTTTCGACGCGGCAGGAAGTGGAACGGTCAATCCTAAAATAAACTAATGTTGTAGACCCTAGCCCTCCGTAGTCTTTCAAGTAGGAGGAAAAATGCCAGGGTTCTCCTCCGGTTTACAGGCTCTGTGTAAATATATATAGAATAATTATGCTGATGAATGCATTTTTTTACCACTAAAATACAACAACACATCTTTGATTCATGTAATTTACAACTGGACTATTACAATTATTATTAACTTTGTCTGTACAAAGTAGCCTGTTCAGGAAATATGTCCAAATCAATAAAAACTGCGAGCCGGCACGCATAACACTCCTCTTCTGAAACGCGCCCGGTGGGGTTTGACGCAGTAGGAGGTCGGAACAGAACCGCGGTGCAGATGTAACGCGGCGCAGACGGACCCGGTGGAATCCAGGGGTAAGTCTAAAGAAAAGGTAACAACATTTGCCAACAAGCACTTCTAAAGCTCATTAATTAACACGTGATATCTCATTTGTTTAATCCACACAAAACCCAAAGTCTACTACTACTACTACTACTACTACTGCTGCCTCAGTCCCCAGACCGACCTCCGGTGTGTGAGGAAGCTGCCGCTGACGTGTCCCGAGCCGTCGCAGCCCGGCGTGGGGCAGGACATGCCCTCCGTCTTGCCGGACTTCCACGTGAACTGGATGCCGTTCATGTAGCCGTCCTTTTGTCTCTTCGCTGCTATGGGACATCCTGAAGCGCTTCTGTGGGACGCATACTTCCCCGTCACGTGTCCCTGACCATCACATCCTGGAACAGGACACCTGGGGGGACAGACGGAAATGTTTTATTCACTTTCAATGTTTAAGACACTTATGTATTCAAAGTTCATACCGTTATCTCTTATCATATTGGAGACATCCTCTCACAGAATGACCTGCTGAGGCGCTCTGGTAAACACTACATTGTGTTTTCCTCGTGAGTACTAAAACACCACAGAGTGTTTGAGTGAATATCATTTTTATGTTCCCCTCCATCTCTACTGCTTTGATATAAACAAAGATACCATCATCTTATTTTAAAGCAGTCCCAGTGGCAGCCTTATCACAGTCTTGGAATGCTGACAGTGCATCAAAACCAGTGCTAATCAGATCCAATGAGGCAGTAAATTATTCCAAATGTCACAACTGGCAAAATGGATTATAGGTGAAGCTAGTGGTGCAAGTATCAGTTCAGTCTACAAACAGCAGCTACCTGCTTTTAGAACAGCTTTAGGAAAGGACATGAAGATACAGCGGTATCACGTACACTGCTGTCTGCCAGCGTCTCTTTCTGTGTCATTGAAGATCATTCCCTTGGTAAGTCACAGGTATCTTCTTAAAGAGGCCCTATTATGCTTTTTGGGGTTTTCCCTTTCCTGTTGTGTGATATTCATATGTTTTGCGAATGTAAATGGTCTGCAGAGGCTAACATCTCAAAAGAAGAAGAGGCACAACATACTTTAAACGTAAACAATTAGAAAAATAGGTCACCTTTAATGAATCCATCCGCAAAGCTCTAAAAACTTTAACCCAGGAATAACTCACACTGGTAGGACTAGGATGACCAATTCCACACTGCACATCCAGGTGTTCAATAATATTCAAGGATTCAATATTATATATTTTTGTCTTTCAATGGAATACTTTGGTAATAAAATCAGACATCCACATATCGCGATACACAATTATGTCTTTTAAATGTATGATTAAATCTAAATACTAACTAAAGTTATTTAGAAAATCTGATGTGAAATATTTTGAGGGAATATATTTTTAAGAAGGTGGTTTTACTTCTACATCAATATTACATTACTCCTCAGTTCAATTAGATTAACACAGTATATGGAAAATAAAGATATGAGCCATAGGTGATGTGTTTAATTATTAATCGTTTGATTAATTTCAAGAAAAATTGTTTGACTTTCAACCTCATTTAAATGTCTTTGCAAACTATTTGTCCATTACTATTTGGGAGAAACTCTTAATCCGCTACAAATCTTGTTATTATTATTATGGTCAATGTGAAATAAATGCTGCTCCAGAAATATCTTTACATTCTTTCTAGCCTCTCTTTCGAGGGGAACGTTGGAGACCAGTTTAAGCCAGATCTCTTCCAGTTGCCTGACACAGATATCAGCCCAGAACACCTCATCCTGACCCGAGAGCCAAACTGGTGAAACCTGCTGTCAGACAGATCCAGAGCTAACATCCAGCCGCTTGTGAGTGGAGACACATGTGAGCCAAACTGACCCCCATCCATGAATCCATAATGTCCGGGAGAGTGAGCCTGTTGTGTGTCATCACCACTGTGGCAGCACAATAGGTTAGGGACAACAGCTATAGCGGGGTGGGGAGGCCAGGGTGAACTTAAATCTGCAAGACCCCTCCCTGCTGTATACATCTTTTATTTTGACTTAGGAAAAAACTACAAAACCCTTTTGAAAAAATATACAAACCCCTCCCACTCTATTTATTTAAAAAAAAAAAAATTCAACATACTGAATAGCTTTGGGTTTTGCACTTTTTTGATTGATAAAATAAGACATTCTGAGACCTTGTAGACACTTGGGCTTTAGGGAAATTATAATGGGCATTTTCCAATATTTTCAGACGTTTTTTATATGTATAATATGTACCTTTTCCACATTTAAAATGTCAAAACACTACTAGACTATTGTGGTGATTTTGTGACTAAATTATCCCAAATGTTTCCACAATAAACTAAAGAGAAAGAGAGAAAATGACCATGTTATCATTCCTTGTCTACAGTAAATAGGGAAAATATTTGTACTCCCTTATCGCTCCATACCGCAAAAGAAAAGAAAATTTTTTCATTTAGAATGTGTTTGTTTAGTGTGGTTCAGTCTATGGATTTTATAGATTCCATATATCCATGTCTTCGTCTGAAGCCAGGAGAAATCTTCTCATGTTTCAAAAGCTCAAATAGTAATTCAAAATGTTTTTAAAAGATATTTCAATGTCAGTGGAGCTTAGTGACGGGTTACCTGTGTCAAACTGTGAGAAGGGCCAAAGTGTGTTATTTGTGCTCTGCACCATCGGAGAAATCAATGCAGCTGCAGGGCCGAGGCCAGAGAAGCCCGTAGTGGGATTTAGGTTCAGGAGTGGAATCAATCTCTCTCTGCCTCCCCTCACCTGTGTGTCTGAGGGGTTCACCAGAGACTTTACACAACTATAGCACATTTGTCTTGTCAGAGCCACGTCTGATTTATGCCTGCTTGCATCAGTGCACGCCAAAGAGCATTGCAGTGATTAGAAAACAGCACAATGCCTTTTTGTTGATCCCATTCACACAGCTTCCTTCCATCACTCAATAACAGGAAAAGAAAAGTCATGTATCATGTTTGATACTTCACATAGGAAATGTAAAGTAAGCAGTTGGTAGCAGGAGGAAGAGTTTGGGGGTTTTAAAGGGAGACAGAAGACAGACGATCTGTGTCTGCACTGTACCTGATAGGCTCCTGGTCCTCCTTGTTCTCTTTACTGTGGATGATCTTTATCCCGCTTTTCCTTGCCCTAGGACACCCTGAGAGACTGCAGATAAATGACAGTGTTACAAAGCTGAAGCATACTGTGTGAGAAAGTAGAGGCAGGGTGAAGTAAGTCCGCTTCAAGTCAATTCAGAACGTATGGGAGGCAGAAAAGGGAGATGTGTTGAAATAATGGAGGGATTGGTGGATGCGTGTATGTGGAGCGTGTGCTGTACCTTCTGTGTGAGGCGTAGTTGCCAGTGATATGTCCCGAACCATCGCACCCTGGTGTCGGGCACCTGGGGCAGAAAACACAACAAGGGCTCAGGGTCTACAGCAAAGGTGCAGGATCTTGAGGACGATATAATCCATGTTGTGTCTAATTCATAGCTTTTGCTGTAATGTTATGCCCATTGTCGATTAAACGTGACATGGATGCCAAGATTTCCTTCATTGCTTTTGTGAACGTATCTTTTGTTTCACGATGTTGGACTTAAATCAGCCTTTGAAAATATACAGCAGAAGGGTTGGAGGGTAGGTCATTAATTAATGTGGCTTTATTCATATATATTTATACTCGCACAACCATGACAGGCGATGTATGAATGCTACCTTGCTGTCTGTTCATTGTCAGTCACATTTGTTGTACTCCTGACCATTTACTAATTTTACACTATATTATCTTACGGTGACTTACAGTATAATGAATACCCATTTTTCAAAGCCCTCCAAAAATTGAACTGACATTTGTTTTTACTTAATCCCACATACACCATGCTGATTATCCTCATAGCACGCCAAATGTAGATTAATCCGCGGGTGAAATTTGTCCCCAACAAATGCATTTCCTTTTGTTTAGGACATTATTTCTTTTTTATTCATAAATTAAACTATATGTTTATGACTTGTTTTAGAGATGTATGTCCTGAAATCAAAATAGACTAACACACAATTTTGACCCTTTTTTGTATAATTTGTGATGTTTAGAAAAATATGTGTGTCTGGGCTTGTGTGTTTTGGTAACTCTTTACATTGCTGGTATATTTTTTTAAGTGTTTGTTGACAATTACAAATAATATAAAATATCACCCTTCTTAAAAAGGTTCCTTAATTCCATGAAAAGCTGTGAAATAAATCCCCATGCCTCCATTTCTGAGCAGTCTCTTGTTTCCATTCATACTTTGCTTTACGTTCCCCCATCCTACCGTTAGGTGCACTAACACTAATAAGGCGTAGCTTGGAACAATGAGCGAGACATACACATCACACATATATCAGTGAGTCATCTCAAGCCTTACTTGAGCTCTTGCGCGTTGTTGGCCAGCATACTTCGAATGCTTTTATCAGCTAAAGGACAACCTGAGAGACTGAGAAATACACCAGGGGAACATTAGTTACTCCGGAATGACACGTCAACCGGTCCACTGTAACACTAAATCACCTCACACAGATTTATACAAACACATGCAAACGTAAAATCAGGTAATGCAGAAAAAGAAAAGCCATGATGCAAGTGCAGGGAGTTGAATTAAATGAGATAACCCTCTGAGTATTTGTGTCCGTATATAACAACAAGGACGTCTCGACATCGATTATAACTTAATGTTGAGCTTGTTCAGGAGAATATGATGTATTAAGAGCCACAGCAGCCTCGAGACTGATATCATTCCGTCGCTGCAGACTCACCTCGCTCTGCACCACTCAACAATTCTGTTTGAGTCTCCTTACTTTGAATAGTAAATGCTTAGTCTGCATTGCACTGTGGGAAGGGCCTGGAGGACTGAATAACATCAGCTTAGAAGGCTTTACTCCCGGCCCATTGAGAAATCATTTTATCCCAGGCTTTAGCTCGAAAATGAGCGTGTATCCAATCTGTAATTAATTTAGTCTTCACTTCTTTCATGACACCCTTGTTTCAGGATATTCAAAGGGCTAACAAATAAGATAGAAAGAGAGAGAGATTGTGCCTACAGGTGTCTGACAGACAGCATAGTCGAGGTAAGCTGAAAACAATAAAGAGAAGTAGACTTAGAATCCACCAGGAGAAGAGGAAGTCACACCTTCGATATGTGGTGAAATGACTTGTCAGATGACCACTTCCATTACACCCCGGTGTGGGACATCTGCCGTCGGAAAAATAGACAGACTTAAAAGCCCAAAGGGAAGGAGAGGAAATTCCTGATTTAATTGTGTCATTGTTTCCAGTTTAGCTTTACTGTCTGTGATCAATATTGAGGTTCCTGAGAGCAACAACTTGATATGGCCATGAAACAAGTGATGTTTCTTATAAAAATAAAGCTTTTCAAAGGGGGAAACTACAATTACAGCACCAGTAGATGCTATAACATGTCTGAGATCAGTGTGGAAAGAGAAAGCTGGTAAATAAAGGTCTATTGCCAGCCTGCAGCTCAGGTTGGCATAGGGCAGTGGTTCTCTGCGGCTAATGGGAGCAAAGATGAGGGTAGAAAGCAAAAAAATGAATAATATGAGGGGGGTAAGCAGAGCATGAGTGGGGTCAGGTGGAGAGGAGGAACAGTGGGATGAGTGGGAGGGGGCTCTTACGTTATCAGGTCCTTCTTATTCTCCTTGCACTGGGCGTACTTAGGCTTGGGGCTGGGCATGTTAACATCTGTGGTGAAGGAGCGGTCCTCCAGCAGGTCATGAAAGGGGTCCAGGTCATCTGACTGATTGTGGGTGGGATCAGAGGGAAGAGAGGGAGAAAAGACAAAAGGGAAGGAGGGAAACAGAGAGATGTAAAGGGACGGTTTTCCACTCAGAAATCACATCACATATATTCAACAATACAGTAAGTTATAATCACTTAAAATGTGTTTTATAACGAGCACATGATGAAACTTATTTCCTGAGTTTATAATAATCAGCCTTTTTCCTTCACATTCCTTATCCCTTTGTCTGCTCATTCCACACACACACACACACACACACACACACACACACACACACACACACACACACACACACACACACACACACACACACACACACACACACACACACACACACACACACACACACACACACACACACACAAATGAGAGCATGTATACTGACCTGTGCACTCATAACCATGCTTGCACATCCACACAGACTGTCATCTAGTCATACATCAATACTGTTAAATGCAGGCACACACACACATCCTGCCTGTATACACACACACACACACACCCACACCCACACACACCCACACCCACACACACACACACACACACACACACACACACACACACACAAACACACACACACACACACACACACTCCCACCTGTCATACCATGGAGTCTTGTCAATTTGAATGCTAATGGTAGAGCCTGTGTGACTATTGAGCCTCACCTGTCAGTCTACCAGAGCTGGTAAAATAGATTCCCTGGGAGGAAATAATGACTCAGTGCCAAATGAGCATGAGTGTGTGTGCGTGTGAGAACAGAGCACTGAGGGAGGTGTCTGGTGGAGATCCTGTAATGCTCTGGTGGGTCAGTAGATGGCACTGCGGTGCAGCGTCAGCCCGCAGCTGGCTGTGTTATGTGGGGCCGTGCTTTGTCTGCAGTGCATGCAAGCCAGGGCACGACGGCTTTTGATGCAAATCCTCTCTTCCCTTCCCTTCCGTGCTCGCAGTGTATGTACAGTAATGCCCATAAAGAGACAGGTCCAGATAGGGCCCAAATTATCCAGCGCTCAAGCTGTCTCAGAGTCTGTGATGCTGGGTCAGCCAGCGAGCGGCTCTAATTAAAGGGAGAGGCAGACAGGAAGGAGGACGATACACACATGCATGCACAGAGATGCGGAAACTAGGCTAGGGATGGGACTCGCACACACATGCCAACACACTCCCAACGAGACATGGGTACAAACACGGGCTCGTATGAATATTCACATCCCACACACTCCTACAGAAGCACATGTGTGTGCCTGTACACACCGACAGGCGCACCCAGCAGTGGTGCATTGATTTCCAGCAGTTCTTTGATGAGATGAGCTATTCCGATTCCCTCCCAAGGTGCTACTTTGCATAATTTATTTTGGAGAAGAGCGAGATGTAAAAACAGAAAGCCAGCATGCATGATACACACAGAGCAGATACCTTCACACTGCTGACAATTAACATGCAGATTCATTAGGTTCCCCTAAAAAAAACCCTGATATGACTTTCTAATGATGCCAAGCAGTGAGTAAGACGGGGAGGTAAGAGACCTAGAAGACAATCAGACAGCAAATGTTGGACTTGGAGACACTGTGTTGTGTCAATGGCTCAGAGGGAAATCATTTGGGTTGAAGACATGGAACAGACAGTATAGGTAACACATGTCAACTGTACTGTCTATCAGATTCAAAACCACAAACTATCATATTCTACTGCTATATAATCATTCCCAGCATCACACTATTAGTCATCTCTATTTATTATTCTACTCTTCATCATTTAAAGGAAATTGAATATGTGATGGAACATTCTGAGGAGAGAGGAGCTTGTGTGTAACTGATCAAACATTTCATATTTGTATGAATAGGATTGAGTAGGAAATGTGCTGTGCTTCAAATAAGAACATGTTATTGATATTTTTAAGGTGACTCAACCTTGAAAGGCAGATACTGACTGGCCCGAATATTTCCTCCTTTCTGAAAAATTGACAGTAACATACATTTCCAACATTTGTCCATATTCTTTCTCTTACTTCTTTCTCGTCCTCGTCTATGTGTTTGATCTTGGTGTAGTCTACAGGCAGGTCCCAGCAGTCGGCGGCGTCCCCCATGCCGTAGCAGCGGGAGCCCAGCAGGGCAGCTTGCCTCTGGGGTGACATGGGCTCCAGAGGGGTGAGCACCGAGTCCCCCACGCCGCTGCACAGACGCTTGCTCATACTTAGGTCCAACGTACCGTTCTCATCAACATCCAGGCCCGGACTCTGGAAATCGGATGTGGTTTTTGGGGCGGGTTGAGTTGTGGGTTTTCAGTGAGATGGTTATAAGAAAGGGTAAGAGGATGCAGAGGGAGCCAGGGATGGAGAGAAGCGGGTAGAAGAGAGAGAGAGCGTTTCTGATTACATAGAAGTCAAACATATTCATACTCTAGGATCAGAGCTGGGCAGAACAGTAGCTGAAAAAGTGGTGAATACTTAAAAAGTACATGAAAGTGCTTGAATATTCTGTTCCTCCAGTGATCTGTTCACTTGTGTAGTTTTTAGATGTCTTAAAAGAGGGATCAATAACACCTGCAGTTCAAATACTTGTAACAATATTCCAATTCGTCTTTTTGTCTGCAGTGGATGAGATTAGACACTTGCACTGTACAGTAGTGTGTCTCTCATAAAAAGGGTCAAAAGTAGAAGGTCATCAGTGCTCAAGGACGAGTGCATCCCTCCTTTTTCTTTCTCTCTCTTTCCTTCCATGGTCTCTTCTGTGTTCTGTGGTGTCAGACGGGGGTGTGTGTGTGTGTGTGTGACTTTGTGTTGTGTGAGGCTAATGTGAGTGGACATCACAGGGGGGCAGGGCTGAGGGTTAGGGGTGGGGTTGAGAGCAGTGATGAGCAGCAGTGGCTGGAACTAGAACTGCTGCAATCCCAAACATAGAGGCTGTGTTCCGGGACAAAGTGGGCCACATCCAACACGGCTCACTACCGAGTGTGGGTTTGTATCTATAGATCCTTGCACGCATGCCTTTTCTTTCTTCTACATATGGCACATATCCCGTAAGGCTTGTGTTTTGGTTGGCGTGTCCTCTAACTTCCTTTTTCTCATCTTCCCTCTCCTTCTTGTTCTCCTTGCTCCCTTTGCAGAGTAGGATAGCCGCTCTAATGCTGATTTCAGCCGACAGTGTCCCTCGGGGGGGATTCTCCTGGTATCTTAAGCCAAAACCTCTGTGACGCACATTGACTCAAACACATAGGGGGATGAGAGAGTTTGAACTGGGCATGAAAACTGCACGAGCTGTGGCTGAACCAAGGACTAAAAAATAGAAGTAAAAAAAGGGCCGAAAACCAATATTACTGCTGGGTCAGTAGATATCTTACTATGAAAAGAGTCCTATTAAAGCGTTTGGAAAAATGGAAGACAAACAGAGAAATGATGGGGTTCCAAATCAAACACTCTTGATTATATTTCCATGTATTACTATATTTCTTTGGTCTAAAATGACAGAAAATTGTGAAAAATGTCCATCCCAGCCCCTCAAAGTCCAAGGTGATGTCTTTAAATGTCTCGTTTGTCAGTCTATTATCCCAAATATATTTACTATACAATGATATAAAACAAAGAAAAATGTATACTATCATATTCACGAGGCAGAAAACAGCTTTTACAGCCATTTGTACCTGTGTACTCTCATGTTCCAAATAACCCCAAATAACCCCAAATAACCCCAGATAACCCGAAATGTCATTTTGGTATCTGTCTATGCCGGGACCAAAATGTAAAATGTTTAATATTGGGCTCTATAAATAAACTTTGATTGATTGATGATTGATTTATACATTAAAAACTACTAACAATGAATTGATCATTATCTAGTAAGCTACTACTTCCTGTTGTTGATTCTTTGATCAGTCGTTGCAGCTTTATTTGACACTAGCACCTTTCTGCAAAACTGTGTCCTGAAAGGATTTCATGATCATGAGGTAGATTTGTCTCAATATTATATGTGTGAGTAGATCAACAACCTGTGTGTAAATGTGTAATGTGTAAATGTGAAAACACCTTCCACAAATAAAACGTGTGAATACTATAATACATTTACAAATAAACAAACACCTTTTGTTAATCCAGTTTGTATTTGCGGATCTCAATTCTCTGTTTGTGTTTGGCTTTTACACACCCTGACTTTTGGGACAAACGTTCCGACGGACTGAACGAAAATCTACTAATGTCACTCGGCCACTTTCAGAAAATGACGTGGTTGCTGCTTCTCCAAGTAAGAGCATGCAGCCTGGTTACGCCATGGCGACAGTAACTATACCATACATGATGTAGCTGTCTGCTTCTGTCTTACACACACTCGATATTACAGCTCCAGTAAAAGTGAAATTGCAGATTTGGCTAGGAGCTGAGAAAAGAGCAAGAAGGAGGCAGAAGACAAGTATGAAATGAGTAAAGAAAGTAAGAACAGAAAGAAACAGTGTTTGTAAAACAAAAGGTCAAGTTGCGTAGGAACAGATCCAAGGTCAAATGCCCCATCGTGTGTTGCCACCACTCATCGTGTCCTGGTGAATATGCTCAGCTGATGGCTCTCTCTGTCAGCCGTTGCATTGTATGTCATCGTCCAATTAACATGACCCACCCCTTCATATTGAATTAACGAGGACGATATGTGAGAATGCAGCCCACTTCTTCATTAGAGATCACCCGTCCTCACTCTAACCCTCCCGTAACCCCTGACCCCTGTTGCCATGGAGATGCTGGGAGGAAGAGGGCCAGAGTGTGAGAGGTCACTTTCGTTTCCTCGCCGCATTACTTCTGCCCACCTATTCCACGTCTTAAAATAATGAATAAAACATGTGTTCCTCTGTCCTTTTCTCTCTCTCTGTCCTTCCTCCTCTACAAGGATTCTTCAGGAGGACGGCTTCATTTCCTAAAAGATGTGTGTGTTACACCAGTGTACCTTTGTGTACCGCTAAGAACAGTGAAAGCAAGTGTTGTTAAATCTGTCATCTATGTGTTCTGTTGTGAAGCTGACACATTTGAAGTCAAATCAACAACAACTTGACAAATAATGATGCCTATTTTGTGGAAGAGGAAAAAAAACGTTTTTGTTTCTTTTATTTTTCTCTGACAAATATATGTTTTTTTGTCAAAGAAAAAAGTCATAATTCTGATATTGAAATGAGGGATTTGAGATTTCTTGAAAAAAAAATTGGAATACTTTTTTGAAAATAATTCTGGCTTTAATCTCTGACCCAAATCCTCTTCCGTACTATCAAGCAACTGTTGGGTCTCCGGAATCTGGAGTACCACATGTATCTACTGGAATCTACAGTATAGTATGCTTAACATGTGATTGTTGTATTCATGTTAAGTGTAGTAGTCATGACTTTTAGTAAATCGACGATGAAAAAACGCAGGCACAAACCTTTAAAATGATATTTCGCTAACTTTGAATGGAGCTGCTGGGGTCATTTAAAGATAACTGGCAATAAGGGAAATATTGTTCTGCAACTCAAATTTAGATTTTCTTCTGGATTTTTCTTTTTCTTCCTTTATTCAATTCTAGTGAGTTTTTCATCTCCAGACCTTGATCAGTTATTATCTGATGTTTAACGGAGGAAATTAGATTTTGGTTGAATAAATGTAACAAGCAGCAGATTGAGACGACGGGAAACAGACCGATAGACAGGCTGAAAATACAAGGAGGTGAGAATAGAAGAGTGTGTGAAGTTTCATTCAAACATAGAGAGGAACAGTGTGTGCCACGAGGTGAGGTGTGGAGATGAAAGAGGGAGAAGAAGAAGAAGAAGAAGAAACTCTCTGAAGTCTCCCGTCTTCCCATCCTGCCCCGAGAGCTTCCTGCCTGTCTGCCCGGAGCAGGGGAAGGACAGACAATGGGATGCGTTTAGGACCGGAGGAAGTCCTCGGGCGTTTGTTCCCGCCAAGTGTATTCCGTTCCACTTTTCTTTGGGGGAACGTTGCTTTTGGCTTTTATCCTTTCCTCTCCCCTCTTTTTCCTCCTCTCCTGTATCCTCCTCTCCTCACTCTCTGCACTGTGACATTAAGAAGCATCCCACCAAAAAGGCTTTCTTTGCTCTCATTCAATCCAACCACCTTCTCTTATTCTCCAGCAGTCAACATTAGCAATGAGCCAGCATTAGCCTTCTGCTGTGCTCTCTCTTCCTGGCCCCCAGTCTGTAGCTTAGCATCTGGGCGCAGATAATACAGAAACAGCGTCACCTTATCTCCTCAGAAATGACACACTGGGCTCACGCCGTGTCAAGCGGCGCCTGGTCCCGCTCCTATCTGATCCCGTGACGGAAAATGAAAAACTGCCCTGCTGAGCCCTGAGTGTGAGACACAGCACAACAGATCTTTAAGGGAGTGTGTGTGTGTGTGTGTGTGTGTGTGTGTGTGTGTGTGTGTGTGTGTGTGTGTGTGTGAGTGTGTGGTGCGCAGCTCAACTCCTCCTATCTCTGTCAGTTCTCACTGCCAGTATTAGTATAATGAAAGAAGCACAGAGATAATCTGTCAGTGGATTTTGTTGTGACTGCAGCGAAGGGCAGAGGTGAAGTGAATATAGAGTCATGTAAAAACAAGGGTTTCACTTTTTTTCCTATTGAAAAAAAGAGTTTCAACTGAACTGAACTAAAACCCAGCAGCATACACCTGTGGATGACACTTCAGGGCCTGTGTCTCCACACTGTAGTTACTCTTTCTGAGCCCTGCGCACAGTGTATTATTTCATGGCGCACCGCTATTTTTGTGTGGCCAATTTGAGCGTTTCTAGACTCAAATATTTCAACTTTTCAGAAAATTGCTGACCTAAAAGCCACTTTGTTAGCAGATGGCTGGACGGACACTGTGGCTGCTGTCGGTGAGTGTTGTACTTTTATCCCGGTACAAGGCTTGTCTTCATGCTCTGCGGCGTTCAGTTTGAATGGTGAAGCTTAGTTAAATATAAAATCCATTAAAAAAGTGATGGGCATTTTTTGTTATGAAAAGGTTGGGAAGAGGCTCTGCCCAGGGCCCTAAAAGACGCTATGTGGACACAGGACAGGGCCTTCATTTTCTTTCTTTGGCACTTGGCCAACAGAATGAACTATATGACTGTCCCTAGCCCCTCCTACCTGCGAGCAGAGGTCCTGAGGCTTCCCCCCCAGGCCGTGGGGCATCTCTCGGCAGCGCGTGGACAGGTTGAGGATGGCGGTGGCGGCCATGTGGGCGGCCTCCATGTCGTGACTGAAGTCGAAGCTGCTCTTGCTGCAGGTGCTGCTGGCGCTGCTGCCCCCGCCCCCTCGGCCTCCTCCCGCGCCCCCCACCCCACAGCTCAGGCTGCTGCTGCTGCTGCTGGGGGCGTAGGTGCTGGTGGTGCTGCTGGCCGAGCTGGACGTCTTGCAGTAACGCTTGGCTGAGGGTCGCATTCAAGACATTCAAAATGAAAAGAGGGCTGATGCATTTAGATTAATACTGAAAATCATGATATGGATTTACGTGACTCGAAATGCAGGTGCATGCATACTTTTTCCCATTCATAAAAGTAAGTTAATTTATACGGTCATCCAAAAGTATATCCATGACAAAGTTAGCTTTTACATTTGTTTATCTTTGGCCCTTGCAAACATCAAATTGTATTCGTTCTAAAATATGTCTTGGAATAATTTAAGAAGATGATTACAATCTCTGCCCGAAATTGAGAGTTTATAGATGCATAAAACGTAGCCTTGAAAAATAAATCTGTTAGATCTAGTAATTACATTGTACGGAAAAGGATTAGAGGGGCACTCCTTTTTTGCATTCTGCCTGAATGCCTGAGAAAGTGAAAAAAATCCTTTTTGATCAGCTCTCAAATAATTGTGACCCTATTTCTCTTCCGTAAAATCGACACTGTCATCTAAAACAAAAATAATATACCACATCAGAACATTTGAACTATTCTTGTGAGCCTGTAATGTTTATGGCTTGTGGTGTTTTCAGAATCTGGTGAGCACACTTATGAGTTGACCCAATCCTGAATAACTCAAACTTTAAAATCCACCAATGGAGAAATGAAGAAGGTGACACGGGAATGTTTTCTGAAAATAAAGTTGGATTTGTATTTTTGTAGAGTAGTACCGTCATATCCTTTGGGGGAGGAGTCTCTCTGGCCATGAACTTTGGGTGCGATGGCCCGTTTCCCGTACACCGGGTGGTTGGTGCTGCCGTCGAAGGCGCTGTAGTCGAAGCTGGTCTTGGAGTACTTCTCCAGCTCCTTGGCCAGGTTGGAGCGCGGCGTGCTGGTGGAGACATTGTTCTTGTAACCATACTGTGGATAGTCCAGTTGTTTGACAAAGCACATAGGCCTGGAAAATAAATGACGAGGGGGTGGAAGTTGGACTGAGGCACTCAAGATTGCCCAGGGGAAGGAGAGGGAACTTCATGCAACTTGCATCTGCCCAAAAAAAATGGGCAGATGCAAGGGTATGAGCAGAGGTTCATGGAAACACTCCAGGATTGGAATATGGAGGATGAAGCTGATGGTTGAGATGATTAAGAGTTTAGGGCCTCCATTGTTTACACTATATTCATGGATGCTTTCTCCCCCGCATATAATAATATCTCTGCTACAAGTGATTTATTTTGTACCTAGACAATAAAAAAACTGCCAAAATGGAATTTCCACATTCATTATACTGGCATACTTCTGATGTGCTCTTATCATTTGATATGCATTTATATCCCAAATCTAAGAACAGGAAGAAATGAAAAGCAGGATTGTGTGCTGTTGATGTTCAGTTCATTCAAAAAGCTCTGCCTGCGCTATGATACATGAGGCCAATTTTGTCAGGATCTAATAAAACCGTTTGCCTTCGACAGCAAGCGCAGAAATGAAGGTGCAGCCTGTTGGAAGTATTCTCAGGGGACAGGAGAACGTAAACATAAAACAAGAAGGGGAGACTCAAATCTCCGCCGCTTCACAAAATGAAGGGGAAAAAAAGAACAAAACATTCCAGCGTGACTGAATAAATGATATAATACAGACAGTATAATTGAACACAAAACACACATGCCCTTTTAGTGCCTGACCACCTACTATACAGCCAACGGATTGAATAACAAAGGCTGCAGAAGGACTTTTATCTATGCTATCTGCTTTCTATCCCATATTTAGGCTACGTCCAACCTATCATTTCATATGGGATGTATATCAAATCGAGAAGGGGAATACTACCTTAGGACTCGGTCAGAGGCCTGGTTGGATTTGGGGAGGTCGCAGCCCACGTGCTTCTCCTGCGCTTTGGCCAGTTTCTCGGCTGCAGCGATGGGACATCCCGACAGACTGAAATAAGAATGAAACCTAAGCAATGGAACTTACTTTTGAAACATTTTGATAGGTGAAAATGTTATCATAATAGCACATGATGTTAAAAGTGTGGGGTACATGTCAGCCGCCAAAAACCTGACCAGCTTAAAATACTAACTCATTAATGTTCATCACTTGTAACTCTGTGGCAACAGCTTGCATGTTTCTGGTTGATCGGTTTTAAATAATTCTAACAATAGATATTCCCATATGTACGTAAATAATGTGCATGAATTTCCTTCAAACATGAGCTGACAAGACACAACAACACTTGGGCTGTTCACCTACAGCATGTTCTGGTTGGATTTACGTCTGTAAAACTTCCTGACTGACCAAATGTCACAAAAGTTCATGTTGTTACTCTTAACCCCTATTACTCCCCATCCAGTCTGTCACTGTAGTGTGCCGGGCCGTGGTGAAAAAAATGATCTTTGACAATGGCCTGAAGCCAGTGTGGAGTTCCTGAGCTGCTGTCATGGGACGTGTGCCGGTATAACGGTGTGTCTCAGGTGCCAGAGTTTATGGAGGTTTATATCAGCGCTTTCTAGTAAAAGTGAAAGTTTACTGTGCGTGCCTATTTTCACTGAACCCAGCGTGGATGCATGCTGCTGCTCCCGGGTCTGCACCTCTCCTGTCACCCCTGTTGAGTGGCAGAAAGGTGCTAATGGCTACTGCTACGCCCGACTCCCTGAGCATCTGCTGTGTGTGACACTCCTCTCTCACTGTCACCTCGCCCAGTCTGACAGCACTGGCGACAGCGCCCTGCTATTTCAGCTCTTCCCTCCAAACCTGCACCTGATGGATGCAGTTATTTTGCCACGAGCTGATGAATGATTTACGCTGTGGAGGGTGTGAATTGCTGCATTCTAATCAGTCTCGGTTAAACCACGGGAAAGGTAGGCAGCTGAACTGCTTTTATGATTCAATTTGAGCAAGCATTATAAGAAGGAATGTACTTTTCCACACACCATAAATAATATGTTGCAAAGACAAAAAATAATGGGTTTCACAATAAATAAAAAAAACGAGAAATTAGAAAATGATTTCCAAATAAAAATGTAAAAAATAAGTCCCAAGGTGAAAAAAGAAAGGTGCATTATGGACAGTGCCAGTTTCTTGCGGGCAGGCTGTCACTTACCTTCTGTGGGAGTTTCTGTTGCTATTGACATGGCCGCGTCCCGTGCAGCCCAGCGTAGGACACTTAAGAACATTCTCATACATAGCCACGACTTCACGCAGACAGCAGATAGGAGTGAAAGACAGGGAAGGTTAGGAGCCCCTTACGATCACGCATGAGCTCTATTAGTGTATGAGGAGCTTGGCATTATAAACATCATTAAGAAATGAGCCTGTGCGAACCCAAATGACCTTTTCTTCATTTTAATGAACACTAGTTTGAGAGGGCAGGCAAGGTTTCCCACCATATTGCTACCACTTATCCGGCCTTTCAAATTAGTATTCATGGAATAGGGGACAGTCATGAATAAAAATATGTCATTTAGGTTTAACAGGACAAAGCCAGCGAGAGACAGAAATGGAGGGAAATTCTAGGCATGCAGAGCAACCAACAGCCAGCAATCATGCAAAACACAAAACCTTGAAATCAATGGGGGACGCAGACACATGGAACACAGCTCTCTGATAGACTGTTATCATTCTGTGCGTTGTTAGGGTAGAGAGTGCAGTCTTCAATACCATTTACCATTAAAACAGTCCATAACTGTCTCAGATCCCCTCGGCAACCAGCCAATTAGATTAATGATCTATGGATGTCCGAGTGGAGCCGTTGGAGCCCTGCAGGCGGGGGCGCGGGGAAGAGTCGTCTCCAAATCAGCGGCTCGCAGGGCCAAACCCCACTGGCACCAGCTTCATCATTATCACCCCCTTAAACTTTAACCCCTCATCATCCTCCTTCCCTTACATACTAATTGGCGTTGGCTGCAGGTAATTGGACGAAGCCTGCCACCTCAACATGCCACAAGCCAATACATTATATATGCTGGTGCCGCCATGCCCTCTGCAGACACACAGAGAACGGCAAGAAATTAAACTGTGGTTATGTAACTAAGCGTCGTACTTAAGTGTTTATTTGAGGTACTTTAGGGAAATATTGTATTTTACTTTATTTACCCTACAGCTTTAGTTACTTTACAAATTAAAGACAAAAACAAAGACTCCCATGTGAGCTAGTTCAATATTTTAGCACGCCACAGAAAGCAGCCACAATGAGCAAACAGGAATGCGAGTTAATGAATTTGAGGTAATAATTTAATCGTCATTTTTCACATTTCCCAAGGAACAGTCTGGTTGCCCCGTGTGATTTCCCAATTAGATGGAGCCACTGCATTAATAATACATTGTCCATTCAGCAGAGCAAATGTGTTAATAGAAGAGAGAGACTTGCCCACAGCTAAACCCTCCCTACAGGGTCATTTTGTGTCAAATCAGATAGAGCGTTTTCGTTTACATATTTGATTTTGTTTAAATCTTTTGTATGTGGATTAGAGTTTTGCTAAATATCTTTGGCTCAGTTTGGAGATTACAGAGTTGATTGCCACTTGGAACATTGTCATTTCCCCCTACAAAATCTCTTAGGCATTAAAGCTATTTTTATGGTTCAATATCTTCAGACGTATAACTCATAATGATGGAAAGAAGATGTCATATATTTCATCACTGGCCCTTGACAATGGAAGACATTGCAAATTGGGTGTTTTGGGGCCCCTGGCAGTCCTCCAAAGTACAAACGTATGGATGGTAAGTATTTCCTGACAAAGTTCAGAGGCCTTGGCATGAACAGAGTCAGATATATGGCAAGTGCAACAATCAAGGTTGCCAAAATAGCAATGAGAAGGCTCATGTCTTTTAATACTCACCATATCTTGGAAAACCTTTTTCACAATATTGCATATGAGATTGCTCATCCATACTTTTAAAGTAGTGAAGCACAAAGTGTGCATGAGGCTGTTTACCAGATATTAACAAAGACTGGTGATAATGAAGCTATAACTCAACCAAAAGCAGGTAACTCAGAGAAGGTCACCTCTAAACAGCAACACGACTTTGTGTGTGTGTGTGTGTGTGTGTGTGTGTGTGTGTGTGTGTGTGTGTGTGTGTGTGTGTGTGTGTGTGTGTGTGTGTTTGTGTGTTTCAATCTCAAGTATCCTATGGAAGTGAGGAGCAAAGGGCCGAAGATGATGCCACAAAGATCAAGAAACTAACTTTTTGTGATCCAAAGCATCCTGTGCCGTATTACTGGTATCGTTTCCCCCAAAAAGTCAGCCCCATCAACACAAGTGAGGAACAGGAGGAGGAACGGAGACATCATGTTCCAACATCTCCAGTGACAATCAATTCAAGTCCATTCCAAATTCCATTTTGGGGCTCTTGATCCCAGTCAAGGTCAAGTGCTCTGAGTCATTTTGCATTTCTCTGAGACATCTCAGGTGATGGACCTGAATGTGAGCGGCGCTCCGCAGAACAAGAGTCAGCTGACACTGCTCGTCTTTAATGCTAACTCATTTATTTGTCATTATTAAACCCTCTTTTATTTTGATTGCAGTCTGGGTCATGACTGATCATAACTGCATGTTCACGCTGCACTCAATGAAACGTATAAAAGGGCTTTTATTGAGAAGTTGGCACAAGGTGAACAAGACTAAATAGCCAGGTTAATATCTCCAAAGGCAAAACTCACTATTTATTCAAGGCTAATGTTTATTGCCACTTCACTTGATCCGTGGCTTAGAGATGCTGTATGATAGGGCCCTTCTATTCAACAGAACTTAATTGAGCAAGGAATACAAATAGATACAGGGGTATATGGCATGGATGACTGAGGCAGGCACACTGTTATCAAGATCTGGGAACAGCTGGGAGTTTTTTGTGAAAAACATAAAAGGTGAAGACACATTAAAACTCTACAAAAATGAGATACAAAAGCATGGCATTCAACCTTTTCTTATCAGTCACATATTGATGAGAAGAAGCATGCAACACATTTAACCTTACAATGATGAAACCAACAAGTAGATAGGACTGCAAATTAGACCCTCCAGAAAAACGAGATTATGCGATCGCATAATTTACCACATAATCAGCAAAATGGCGCAGATTTTTAAAAGGCTGCATAATTATCAAAAAGGCCGCATAATCCCCATATTTTTCCACACAAAGTTGAGAAAAAAAAAAGTTAACTCGTCTTGACGTGAAGTAGTGATGATGATGACGCGACGTCATCAGCTCGCGCATCACAGAAGGTAAACAACACCGTAGAGTGAACGTGTGGAACTCACACGAGAGACAAAACACCAAGATGAAAAAATCTGATCCATCTCATTTACAGACGAACATTTCTGCTAAAGACCGGGCAAAGCAGTACCCTGATGTCTTTCACGAAATTGGGGGGAAACTATTCTGCACCCCGTGCAACTGTGTGTTGGAGCATAAGAGAAAATCCACGGTGACGACCCACTTTGATTCATTCAAACATTCGAAAATGCTTTCTGCTGCTGCGGACAAGAAAGCCAAACAACTCACGTTCACCGAGGGATCAACCTCCAAAACCCTTTCGAGGGCTACAAGAAACGAAGTGAGTAGCCTACAAGATTGAAGCTGGTCAGATAACGAACGAGTAAATGAAAACAGAAAGAGACCGAGAAGTGTGTGTGTGTGTGTGTGTGTGTGTGTGTGTGTGTGTGTGTGTGTGTGTGTGCGTGTGTGTTTAAAATAGCACAATTGCTTTTACAATACATAAACATTGAATGTGTTTAATTGAATAGGAAAGGGGTTTAACGTTAGTGGCAGGTGTATGTGAGAGAGAATAAATAAGACAGCCCAATATTTTTAAAAAAATCTATTATTTTTCGCAACTTTCCGCATATTTTGCANGTGTGAGAGAGAATAAATAAGACAGCCCAATATTTTTAAAAAAATCTATTATTTTTCGCAACTTTCCGCATATTTCGCAACTTCCCGCAATTTCACCGCATAAAATCACATAAAACCCCCGCATGTTTAATCGCCTAATCAAGGATTTTAGCCCGCATAATCAAGGATTTTAGCCTGCATAATCAAGGATTTTTGCCCGTGTTTTTCTGGAGGGTCTAGCATATGCATTTACCAACTGTCAGTCAATGTATGGAGGAAAAAGTCTCATGCAGTCATGTAAATCAGTGATTGACAGCTCTTGGCCATCCCACCAATTACTGAACAGCCTCTATTTGCACATCACCAAGGCTTCATTTCCCACCTCATCACCACGGCACACAGGGCAGGCATTCCACAAGCAAAACCATGGCCACATGCAAAAGGTCATAAGAGAAGTGCAGCTGTGACCTGTCTGACTCTCACCCCCCCCCAAACACATAACAGCAAGGACACATCACACAGAACAGTGATCACAGGAAACATGCCGATTCCTGATCACCAGATGACAGGACGGTTGGATATATAGGTGTGTACGACTAGTGCTTACTTTCTGGTGGCACCCTGTCTTTGTGCGGACAGCCCGACAGACTCCGGTGGTGGGGGTAAAGGCCCGTCACGTGCCCCGTGCCGTCACAGCCCGGTGTCGGACATCGACTCTCCTTCTTGTCTGCACGTGAAATATCTGTGAGCAAAAAGTCATTTTGTGATGATCACACATGAGAAATGCTGAACTGAGCACAAGGTTACAAGGGAGTTAAAATGCCATTGGGGGGATAACTAAAAGTGTATTATATTGTGTTGAGAGCTGTGAACAGCTGTCTCAGTAAGGAACAGATGTTAACAAAACATTTGCAGTTTTACTGTTTGGATTGTGATGGTCCGTCTGTTCTGGATTTCATTGACTTTTCCAAAACTGTTTCTAGTGACATCATTTCTAGGAGGTTCGTGGTGCTCTTCGCTAACGAATTTTGAACAATATATTTAATATTATATTTGGCATTGCTTTTTGAAATCGTTTTAAAACAGTAAATTATAACAATTAGATTCTATTTGAATCCAATGGGTATATACGGAAGAGGATTAGGGCCACATTATAATTTTTTTTGGGAGGATTTGAAAAAAAAAAGTTTTTTTTTAGAATTCTGACTTTAATCTCAGAATTCTGACTTTAATCTCATAATTCTGTCTTTTTTCTCAGAATTCTGACTTTAATCTCAGAATTCTGACATTTTTCTCAGAAAAAAAAAAATAAAATTTGGGAGAAAAAAAAAAAAAATGTGTAACCAAAACAGTAGTTTCTTATTTATTGACCATAATTTATTGCTGTGCTTATTCGAAGTAACGTAGTGAAGACAAAGATGCCACAATTGGCTCGCTGACGGCTCTTTTGATCATGAATTTTGTTTACCGTAATGAAATTGTAAACATTTGTGAAATATTGCGACTCTCGAGGGACCTTCAACAGAAAGCATTTCAGCACTTCAGTTCAGAATCAAACAAGATGAATTACAGTGTATTAGGTGAGTGTGACAATAAGGGTTCAAAGAGCACATACTGTACACACACACACACACACACACACACACACACACACACACACACACACACACACACACACACACACACACACACACACACACACACACACACACACACACTCTCTCTCTCTCTCTCTCTCACACACAGACACAC